ACTGTCACATTTGTCATTTATCCCATATGAAGTGCTTTATTATTAGTATAATTTGGATAGAAGAAAAATTTCAAAAATTGCACTGGAAAGTCTGTCTTTTTTGAAAAAAATATTTTAATGATTTTTTGAGTAGTTATAATATTGTATTTTTATCTATTCATATCCCCTTCCTCATCTTTACTCCAACCCTGTTATTCACTTAGAACTTCATGTCCTCTATTATTACATTTCTTTTTATAAGGTCTTTTGAGTCTAACCTGTGCTCCTCAAATACTCATGGGAGTAAGTCACTTTGAGTCTTGTCAGTCTACCCGGCATCACATTGCTTACAGGAAAAAAAAAAAAAAAAAAAATCAAAAAACAAAAAACAAACAAACAAAAAATTTGACTCTCCCTCTCCCAGCAGCTGTCAGTTACCAAGAGAAACTCAGGTAGGACTAGCATTTCTTGGCAACCTGTTCCATCCACTGTGGGTTTTCATAAAACTAAAAGCAACAAAATTTATTCCTCCAAAGATGAAAGGAAAAGATTTAACTATGTATAACCAACCCAATTATTGTGGTAGTGCCTACTTAAAATAATAAAGTGAAATCGAGGCTCTTGGCAGCTTATGAAATAATCAGAATTCTGATATTTTAGAGTATCATTTACTCTCTGGTCATTTCTGCATGCTCTAAGATTTGGGGCTGATCCTTTTAATCCAATTGGTATGAGGGCCATCAATGTTTAATGGCAACAAATTTCATGATGTTTTAACCAAAATTGGCCATGATACTTCTCTGAGGTATAATATTGGAGCAAGAATTTTATTGTAAACTGAATTTTGTAAAAGTAATAAAGTCAGATATATCTTGAAAATCATTTCTGCATGCTCTAAGATTTGGGGCTGATCCTTTTAATCCAATTGGTATGAGGGCCATCAATGTTTAATGGCAACAAATTTCATGATGTTTTAACCAAAATTGGCCATGATACTTCTCTGAGGTATAATATTGGAGCAAGAATTTTATTGTAAACTGAATTTTGTAAAAGTAATAAAGTCAGATATATCTTGAAAAAGCATTAATTATCATAAAATAACACCTAAGCAATAGTAACATTTTATCAATGGGAAAAGATGGAAAACATTACAACTAGACTCCCATTTCTTATTTTAAGGAAAAATATTTTATTGTGATCACAAAATGTATAAAATCACGAATTATTTTAAATATGGCCCCTTGTTTATAACCCTGTGGCACACACTCCCTTTGAAATGAAAGCTATGTTTGTCAAGAATAAGCACCTCAAATTCTGCTTTACTAAAGAGGGTATTGAGTTGGGTGTAGTGGCACACACCTTTAATCCCAGTAGTCCAGAGGCAGAGGCAGAGGCAGGTGAATCTCTGTGAATTCAAGGCCAGCCTGGTCTACATAGTGAATTCCAATATAGCTGGGGCTGCAAGGAGAACCTTTCTCAAAAAAGACCAAAAAAAAAAAAAAAAAAAAAAAAAAAAAAAAAAAAAAAGAGGATATTGAATTCAGCTGATTGAATTAAACTTGTTTCTGTAAATTTCTATGGACACTAGGTGCTATAGTAAATATTCAATTTCAGCTGTTTATAGCAGTTTTTAACTGAAACATCTGTCGCTCAACTTTTCTATGTGAAGAATATACAATATATAATGTATCTATTGAACAGCTTTACATGTGGAGAATATGCTTATACGTGTGCGTATACATACACTGTACATTGTATATTCTTCATCTATGCCTACACTAGTTATTTAATTCCTGTAAGTTAAAATTTGATGAAACAGTATAAATTTAAGGACCAGTGTTAGACATTCAGAAATCAACCATTCTGAACACAACGCAATGAATCTAATTGAAAAAAAAATTAAATTTCTAAAAAGAAATAAGTTGATATAGAAAATATATTAGAGAAAAAAATTTCTTGCTTTGATTTTCCAAGTAATAATATATGAAATAGTCTTCCTATGAACTTTAATTATTAGGAGGTTAATTGTAAAAGACAAAATGTCATTCTAGTGATTAGAGAACACTATCTCATTAGTGATTATTTAGGCAGAACATTTTATATCACATTATTTAATGACATATTTTCATTTAAATGTTTATAACTTGGCTATCCTTGGGGAATATTTAATATATTTTGCATTAGTATAAACCCATAAGTCTCATCTAACTGCTGTAAAATCAGGACCCCCTGAGTTATTTAAAATGGGCATTCATGCTTCAGTGATTAGATGAGGCTGAACAGTATAGACCTACATGATACCTTTAACATAAAAGTTAAAATTAAGCATTTCATTAATTTTTAAATGAATACATAGCTGATTTTGTATCCTTTGCTTTAATTCCTGTTGCATTTCTCAGATTCCTATTGTTTGAAAATAGGGATATTTTCCTATTAGTATCCTTTTAACTACATCCTTTTATCTTATTTCTCTAGCTAGGGCTTCAAGCACTGTCTTGATCAGGAGTGGAGATAGTGGGTAGCCCTGTCACTTGACTGCAGTGGAAATTCTTCCAGCTTTTTCTCCATTTAGAATGATGTTGCCTATGGGTTTATCATATATAATCTTTATTATGTTGAGGCATGTTCTTTCCAGTCCTATTCTCTCTAGGACTTTTGTCATGAAGGCATGATGAATTTTGCCAAAAGCCTTCTCTGTGTCTACTAAGATGATCATGTAATTTTTGTCTTTAAGTACATTTCAATGATTTATTACAATTTTTGGATTACAAATATGTGGAACTATCCCTGTATTTCTTGGAATAAACCCAACTTGATTATATATCCAGTCCATAGTATTTGTAGTTAGTGTTTGGGAAGTAGCAGATTTACTTAAAAAATGAGGACTGGGGTAACCGAAATCTGTCTTCCTGGGCCATGGTCACTCATACTTGGCTCCCGAATAAGCTATCTCTTATCCCCTTAAGAAAAAGTGCTGTGTAATTGGTTTAACATGGTAACACAAGAAGAAGAGAAACTAGATCTCTACATCCCCAAATGGAACACCGGAAGAATGCAGCTATCTATAAGTTGGGAAGAGGGCTCTCTGATCAGGTACTTTAACCCTGTACTCAACTGATTCGATAACTATGAAAACTATCTCTTGGTTATCAATTCAGGCTATGGTATTTTTCAATGGAAGAAAAATATGTAATAAATAGGAAATGTACTTTATTTGTTTACTCTTTTCCTTGCGTTACCAAGATAACCAACAAGAAAACAAGGTAAGAAGGCTGTGTTTCAGCACACAGTTGGAAGGTATAGTCTGATATGGCAGGAAGTCATGGCAGCAGAAGTTTCACACAGGTGTTCACATTACAATTGCATTCAGCAGGCAGAGAGAGATGAACACTGGTGATCAATTCATTTTATTTTTTATTCAGTCCAGTTCCCCTTCAATATTTAGATTAGGTTTTCCAACCTTAATGGACCCAAAATAGGAACTTTCATAGAATTTTTTAGGAGATTCCCATTTTCAAGTTGAAAATGAATATTAACCATCACATATGGCATTGATATAAATAGCATATACAAGTGGACAGACAAGATAGATTAGAGACTAGTGTTAGATTCCGTATATATACCATTTTCCTGAGTAAATATCCTGTCAATTGTTTTATTACACTTTCCCTAAAACAAAAGTCAAAGATATTCATGATCCTTTTTCTCTTGTTTCTATTAAAAGATTAATGGAAAAAGAAAACAAGGTGCATATACACCATAAAATTTTCAGCAAAAGAGAAAAACTTGAAAGTATTACATTTTCAGGAAAATGAATAGAACTGGAGATCAGTATGCTAAGCACAATTGGCTAGATTCAGGAAGAGAAGTGTTGCGTGTTTTCCATTATATGCAGAGTTGAGAGAGAGAGAGAGAGAGAGAGAGAGAGAGAGAGAGAAAGAGAGAAAGAGAGAGAAGGAAGAAGGAGCTCATGAAAGAGGAGGAAGAGTTCTTAGGATCAGGCCACAAGATGGCCAGTAAAAGTTGGGCACGTGAATTGGAAGTGGACAGCAGTTCTTGGAAATAACAAGAGTGAATTATAATGTTATGTAGTGTGAAAATTCCTTAATGAAACCCATTACTTTGTATCATAGCTTACCAAATAAATAAAAGAAAGAAATCAAAAAGCAATTAACTATTTACCAAACCCATTCGTTTATACTCTAATGATTCTATTTTTTTTTTTTTTACTTTTGCCAATTGCTTTTTATTTTTAATTAAAGATAGATTCAAGATTATAATTAACAGGGGAAATCAAAACCATATGTCTGTCAATGAGCCATTTCATATAATACTTTTGTGTTTGGCTTTGATACTGTTACCAAGGAAAATCTGCTGTGTCCCCTGTGCTGCGTAGATTTCTACAGACCACCAGGATGAGCAGGACAGGAAGGGATAATGGCTGCTCTCAACCAGCCTTTGTAAATCCACCTGCCCTTGTCGCTCTTGTTCGTTCATTTTCTTTAGATGGATATTTCTATGAGGCTCAATTTGGCATGGAACTGTAGATGCTCCTGTTCTCATCTCATGAGTTACTGGAAAAATAGATAGTCAGACACCCCTACAAAAGCACAACATTGCACTCTTAAGGACTTAGGACAGATTATATATTGGCTAAGTAAGGCATTTTTTTACTTTAATCATTTTTATGGCCATTATAGATTGTGTTCTATCAGACTTAGTAACTTTTGAATTACTGCTATGTTTTTGAAAATTTGGTAAATGAAAAGACTAGAGAATGAATTACATAGTTGATTGGTGAATTGACAGATGTATAAATAGATAGATATTACTGCTTTGTTTTCTATTCATCTAGCCTTATATAACTGTCTTTTGAAAATGGATAATAATTTTTATTTTTAGAAGTTTTCAAGTAATCAGAAAAATTTTCCATAAAGTACAGGGTTCCACAAAACCAATATCCTGTTAAGCTAGTGTTGAAATCTTTTATTATTATGGTATACTTTTCATTATTTAATTAGAAGAGGAAATATTTGCAGTCCCCCACTATCACAAATTATGCAGTCGTGTTTCCCACATTTGGGGACATCACAGGGGTCATCTAACCTGGAGTGTACGGATTAGCTGCACCCTGTGTAAACTACTTTTGTGATCATGGTATCTCCCCTGCCAGGTATCATTTGTCAATATTAATGAGGTAGTAGTGATGCATTATTAATTAAAAGCTGTACTTCATTCAAAGTTCCTTACTTTTTGCCTCTTGCTCCTTTACACAGTTATATCCAAAACACCAACTATATTTAATCACAACATCTCCTCCGGCTCATCTTTGCTCTCTGACAGTTTTTCAGACTTTAGTTTTTGATGATCATGGGGTTCTAAGGAGTACTGATCAAGTGGTTTTTAGAGTATTCATCAAGTAGGATTTATCTGATGCCTTTCCCACGAACAGGCTGTGTTTATAGGATATTAGGAGAATGCGGACTCTTATCCATACTGTGTGAATCATTCTAAACTTTTACTAAATTTTCTTAGCTATAAAGTCCAACAGTGAGAAGCCTAGGGACCATTCTTAAATTTGCTGAATTGTTGAATTGCAGAATTCTCATATGGAATCATCAGTTATTAACTTATCCCCCTGTAGGAAGTTACTATATCAACCAGAATGTGGTACATATGTACAGTCTCCTTAATTTGTTTTATAGATCCACTCATTCATAAAGTTCCTTAGGTTATGTGATGCTTAATACTGTCAACTTGATTGGAATTGAATTGCAGAGGAGACAAACCTCTGGGCATGTCTTTCAGGATGATTACAGGCAAGTTAAACTGAGACGAGAAGACCCACTATGAATTTTGGAAGCACCATCCCATGGCTTGGTGTCCCAGATTGAATGCAAAGGAGAAAATGATGACTCACTGAGGAAAGAACTTGCCAGGCAAGCCTGAGGACTTGGGTTCAGATCACCAGAACCTACATTAAACTAGGCAAAGCAGTGCTAGTCTTCAACCCCAGAACTCCTGCAGAAACATGAAAAGTGAAGACAGGAGACTCCCCAGAAGTTTGCAGGCCAGGTAGTCTGGTGTGGCCATGGCGAACAAACTTTGTCCAAAGCAAGTCAGAATGCAAGGATCGAAACCTGAGGTTGTGCTCTGATCTCCACACATGCTCTGTAACAAGTATACTTGCACACATACACACACAGTGATGAATACACACAAAGATTAAAAATTATGTGGTTTAGGGGGTTGGAGCGATGGCTTAGTGATTAAGAACACTGGTTGTTCTTGCAGGAGACTGGGGTTCGAATCCCAGCACCCACATGGCCGCTAACAACTGTCCATAACTCCAGTTCCAGGGGATCCAACAGCCTCTTCTGTCCTCTGCAGGCACTGCACGACACGGGTGCACTTACCTACATGCAGGCAATACATGCATACACATAAAAATAATAAATAAAAACCTGTTTAAATTATGTGGTTTAGTAGTGTCATATATCTAATCAAATAGCTTCACTATCCTAATAAAGACAGCAAGACAACAGCACACAAAAATTCTCTTATGTTTTAATTCTTTAGCCTCCCTTAATTCACTGTTCACATTTTGTTTGTTGGTTTTTCTGAAGTGTTGAACCACTGGGATCATATATAATGAAACTTTTTCTAATTAATTCTTCCCTTTCACCTTGGACATTCAGGCTTCATCCCTGTCTTACGTGGTTTTATACCTCATTTGTTCTATTGATGAATATGCCTCCAGTGCATAAACACACCATAGTTTCCTACTAAGTGTCGTCATGGTTCTTCACTTAAAAATATCAATTATGCGTCAGGCACATTGGCACATACATTTTTTTTTTAATTAAAAGAACCATTTCATTACAACAGCATTAACCTATTCAATAACATTTTTCTGGTGGAGAGCCGTAGGCCCCCACCCCAGAATATAGCAAGACCTGGTTCCTGGCAAAGCTGTTTTCCAGACATCAAGGCTGACCTGGTTTGAGATTAACCAGATGACCATACTTGAAAGCCTCACACAAACATGTTATTCTAACTCAGGCACTTACCGCTTGAGAGACTCCCTCATTTCTCATGTAATTGCCTAGGAAGCTTTGGCATTACTCTGTAATCATGCAAGTGTAACCTCTTAATTGATTTATAACTTGCTATATAGAATTGTGGTGTTACTATGGAATTTACTCTGTGATCAATTGGTGTGGTGTAATTATGATAATTGTTCCTCTCCCACTAGAGCCTCCATACTCTGCTATCCCTGCCACTGTCCACTGTGCTGTCAGCACCCCCATCCATTCCCCTCATCTGCCCTTCTGGTAAATCTAGTCAGCCAGAGGTCCCTGTTCCAGGAGGACCAGCTGTTCCTCATCTACGGCAATCCATTGTCAGTATTCCTTTGGATAGAATTGGGGTCTGCTGTTCATGTTTCCAGTAGTATGTTGGGTTACTGTCGGGAAGAGCTTTTATCTATCTGGCCAAGAACTCGACTGAAGGTATCGCCTGTCTGTCTTTGCTGTTTGTCAAGTAACTTTTAGTTATATTTATGTGTGCTCTTATAAATTATATTGGCCCCTTTAATCTTTGGTTATACTTCGCTTTTGGGTGTTTAAGGACATACCATTGGACCAGATAAACTGATTTGTTTTCACTCTTGAGGTCGTTTGAGGATCTGTTCCTCAGGGGTCCCATGGGCTTTGGAGGAGCCCCTGGCTCCTTTCTTTTACCAGTTCCACGATCTTTGCTGTTTGTCAAGTAACTGTTAGTTATATTTATGTGTGCTCTTATAAATTATATTGGCCCCTTTAATCTTTGGTTATACTTCGCTTTTGGGTGTTTAAGGACATACCATTGGACCAGATAAATCCATTTATTTTTATACTTAAGTTTATGTGTACGAGTGTATTGTCTGCATGTAAGTGAATCCACCCGTGTCGTGCAATGCCGCAGAGGTCAGAAGAGGGCTTTGAATTACCCTGGAACTGGAGTTAAGGAGGGTTCTAGCGATCACGGGGGTACTGGGAATAGAACCCAGGTCCTCTGCAAGTGCTCTTAACTGCTGAGCAGTCTCTCCAGCCCCAGAAAACTATTTTTAAAACAGAAATTGTTAAGTCTAAGACAAAATTCAAGCTAGCAGCTATTTGGTTAGTGAGAAAGGGAGAAGATTCGATCTGAGAGGATAAAATTATTGGTGTCTAAGGCACTGTTCATTCTCTCTCTCTCTCTCTCTCTCTCTCTCTCTCTCTCTCTCTCTCTCTCCCCCCCTCTTCCTCCCCCCCCCCTCCCCCTCCCTCTT